CAAAATCTATTTTCTTCCAGATCTTGTCAATGTGTTTGAGGTGTTTCTACCCCAACTTCTTCTGTATCCCAATCCATCAGACCCCTTGAATGGAGAAGCTGCAGCTTTAATGATGCGTGACCGAGCTTTTTATGAACAAAGGGTTAAAGGTGTTCATCCTTTCTGAATTTTAATTTCTTGGTTTTTACTTTTTATGCATTCATCCTGCGTCACAGACTTGCTATGTTTTGCAGTTTTTTATTTTGTTCCTCCTAATTTCATACACAATCAAAATCGAAATCAGGGGGATGCTTGAGTTAACATGTTAGACCTCTGGGTAGTGGATGTAGAGTACCATCAATACCCTACAAATCAGATATACACAACTATTCGGATGTGGCTGTGTGCACATGCACATATACTCCAAAAAGCAGTTTGAAGAACTTCATTCTTGATAATTATTATCCTCATTTGATTATATCTTTATCAAAACAAGCTCTTTTTCTATTGATTGCATGAGTTCTAATCTGCTAATAGAACTGACTTCATTGTCATCTGCTACCAGTATCATTTAACTGCCTTCTATGATGCCATCAAATCCAAAACATAAAATTAGAAAAGTAAGTAATAAAGCATGAAAGGTTGGATTGGAGTACGACAATCTGTTGTTCTACAAGAACATGAGGAAGCTGCTTTAATAGTGATGATATAAAAAATGTTAATATATGAAATGATAGACATTCTGATCTCTGGAAAATGTTAGTATTATAGTTTTAATATTTTCATTTGGAAATTTCAATCTACACCAAGTTTTCCTGGAGTTTGTTTCTCTAGATTTGTATACTTATTGTAGCTAAGATCATCTTTGGGATTGTTTACTAATACATTATCTGGGAAAACTTTGCAGCTTAACCCTTTTCAGAGATGGTGAAACTTGAAATGTAAATTGAACTTTCGGTCTTGTAGTTAGTGAAATTTATAATAGACTAATTTGTTTTGTACTCTTATCACTTTTACTTTCAATTTACATTCCTAGACTGATTTTCTTCTCCTATTCCTTTTCTAGTTTTCGCGAAATTAGATCTATATCAACAATTACAGTAGACTTGTCAAAACGGGCCACGCTAAAATGCATTTAAAAAAATAGGCTGAAATTACGATATTTGGGGTCTTTTTTTCCCTCATGCTATATGCCCTATCATTTAAATATAACAAACTATCAGTTGTCTGCTTTCTTGTGTTCTCAGAAGTTGGGACATTGGAATTAGGGCCATCTCTGTTGACTCTGGCTATCTTTGGACTAATGGAAAGGGATGAAATACAGTGGAATGGAATGGAACGATACTAGGATTCATTGTTTGGGTTGTTTAGAATAGGATTGAATGAAAGGCTGAACCTGATGGCATGCATTTCATTTCATTACATCCAACACCACTCTTTTTCTTCCCCTCCTAATCCAATTTTGGGTATGGAATGAAACTTTTTTTTTGTTCCATCATACAAATATACAAACAATGAAATGTTAACTTCATTATTAGATATCTAAACATAGCCTTTCTTTATCTGACTGGTTTTACAGTATGATTTTGATTTTATTTTTCCAAAACAATTAAATTCCTTTTATTTATTAGAACTTAACTGAAATGTCATTGACTTCAATGTCAGAGTACTGTGAGAAGTATGCTAAACCTGAAGACATTGGAGATGCCACAGAAGAGAAATCCAGTGATGAGGAGATGAGTGAAGATGAATATGATTCTAGTGATGAACAGGTGGCTGGTAAAGCAGATCCTTAGCTTTGCATGCATATCCTGTTCTTAACTTAGTATTTTATTTGTACATGATGTTCTAGTTCTGTTAATTCACCTCACCACATGAACTTATTGTGGAGAAGGGGGAAAATTCCCCTTCCTGTTAGTTTCCTGTCACTGTAAATAAAGTACCATTGATTTCCTGAAGCAATATTATCTCTTGTTTAGCACTTTCATGTGCATGGATTGTGTTGTTTGGCATTCACTTAAGAATGCTGGCACCCGCCATCTGACATGCCTTATATTGAGGAATAATTCTAAGCTTTCCAATCTTTTATTACTCGCTAAATTATTAAATGAAGAAAGTATTTAATATTCTCTCCAATTCTTTTTATAAGGACTTTTTACTAAATTTTGTTAATCCTTAATATAAGACCTTTTACAAAATTTTTGGAGTATTTATTTATTTTTCTTTTGCATATTTGTCCTTTATTTTTGAATTTTTTGAACTTCTAAACAATTAATATATAACCGTTTTTTTTCTTTTTTACATAGTTTGACTTTAATTAGAGGTAACTTGGGATTTTTTTTTCAAAGATAAATACATAACTACTCTAATTTTTCTTAATATATGTGATTTTAGATAAAATTTTCTTATAAAAAGGATTTGAGAGAGTTTTTTTTTTTTAATGTTTTTAAGATAATGAATATATGTATTTTTTATTTATGATATTGTTTTATAAAATAGGAGGGATTATTAAAAAAAATTGTTAATATCAGTTTGAGTTTAAGTATTTATATCTAGAAAGTTTTTATGAAAAATGTATGCATTTATTATATTAAAGTTATAAAAGTATAATAAGTATTTTTTTTAATAAAATTTTAGTTGTTTATGGACTGAATTTAATATTTTCATATAAAAAAAATATGATGGAGAATATACCATAATTCTATATTGAGTTGTTCGTGTGAGTTTTATTAACATTTTTAGGATATTGGTTAAGGAATTGGAAAATTTAGAGTCTTAAAGAATCAATAAGCAAAGTTTTTATTATTATTATTAAAAATTACATTGAGAGTGTATTAAAAATCAAGAGGAAATTGCAATATTATACTTTCCAATAAAAAAAATCACCCTTGATTCTTTGATGACCTTGGTATGCATTGGTCATATTTTTATTAAAAATGCAACATTTAATGTCGTGATTTTAATAATATCTTAATGAGTTGCTTTTTTCACTTTTTTCTATAGTTTAGTAATTTATTTATTTATTATCATTTTATAAATATTTTATTTTTCTTTAACAATTATTAGTTATTTAATAAAAATAAAAAATAAGAAAAATATTAATTAATATAATACTTACACTTAATCTGAGTCTTTATATTTAACAATCAATGAAATAATAAATTATAATCTGTTAAATGTAAGTTAAATAAAAGATTAAGATTAAGTATAAGAATTTTAAAATTTACATTAATGTATATATATATATATATATATATATATATATATATAATATCAATTATTTTTTAAAAATTTCTGTACAAAATTTTAGACATCAAAAATGAAAATAGATGGAGTAGCTCTTTTATCCATAAGACATTCGGTGGTAAGATCCCTAAGAAAAAATAGCTTAAAAGATGGGTTACTAGCATTCCTTTGTAAAATTATAATTTATTGAATATTTAATTTTTAAAAAAATTATTTTTTCTTGTACTTATATATATATATATAAATTTTAAATACTCTTTCAGTTTTATTAGCAAGACATTTTAACTTTTTTTAATGATATACAATAAGACTTTTGACAATGTCTTAAAAATATTAATTATTTTTTATATTTATCCTTTATAAATATTAAACCTTTCTACTTTTTATCATTAATATGTTAGAGTTTTAATTTAAATATGGATATACATAAAACATTATAATTAATTTTTAAAATTATTCAATGACAACGATTCTTGTTCTTTTCTCTCTAAATTATTCATAGTCCGGTGACTTTTGCAGAAGGTTTAGTGTTGAGTGGTGAATACAAATTTGGGTAGAACCTTTTGAAACTGAGCAGGAAATAGTCTAAATCCAAATCCAATTCACGAGGCACTGTTTGTGTCAATATAATTAATTAACAAGGTCTCGTGCCCCATCAAGTTAATTCACAATGGCAAGGGTAACAACTCTTATAATGTTGTCCTCAATAAAAGCGATTTCCCATTACTTTTGGACGCGTGACATTACAATAATTGTAGCAACAATGAACGAAAAGAATTGGTAATTAACATTTTAGTTTATTATCAAGCTTAAGACAATATGTAATATAATTTTCATACTAATTTACTAATAAAATTTACTTCAAATTAATAGATAATTGTAATAGAGTTTGTCAAGTGACAACATTAATGGATAATTTAGATAGTGGCAGTAATCAAAGGTATTCAGTATAATATTAACAATGATAAGAGTTTTGGAAATAACAATAGCATTAAACAAAGGTCGGAGCATTATTTATTTATATTCTCTCTTGTTATAGTGAGAACTAAATTGAGAATTAGATTGAACTTCACAACTAGAGAGATTCAGATATCAAGCAATAAGTTAACTCCCTCTTAAGATAACATTTATAATACATAGCAAGATAAACTTATATTTTTTATTTGGTTAACAAATATTAAATTGAAATAGGATAAAATAATTCCCACCGGCGATCCAAAATTTTTGTATGATTCAAATACTAACATAAATCGAAGCTACATACAATCAAAGTTTGTCACACTTAATATTATCAACTGGACTCGTCAATCTATAATAGATAAAACTTTCAGCTTGTTATTCCAATGCAATGTTCATAACTTCAACTTTTATCAATCCATCATAATGTTAATTTTTAACCATTTCTTGTATAATGTAAAATATTCAAAATAACTTGTATTATACTTCCCTCCCCTAAGTTTAATTCACACTATCTTTTTTTTTTTTTTTACTATTATCCTTTATCTACTTAAATACTAAAATCAATATTCCGGGTAGCAATCGAACACCTGTCGTGAAGAATAAGATATGCTTAAGGGATTATAATTACTCATCACCTCTAATACTTGCATTAAAATAAATTAAAGTGTAGTACATGCTAATATGTTAGAAAAGATAAGTTTAATTTTCAAAACAAGAAAGGAATAAAATCCAGATCTCTCTCTCTCTCTATCTCTGAGTATAATTTACTCTTTAAAATAATAAAGAAAATAAAAATAAAAAAGCAATTTTTTATTGTCAATATCATCCTCATTATTATTATTTGGTTCCTTTTGTTGTTTCCAGCTTAGACGCAAGCCACCAAAGGTTCATAGCTTATGCATTGATATAATCATGACCTTATAGAGATTAATCCTTGAATGGACCAATAATATGAACCAAGAAGTTGCTATACAACAGATTCAACAGCTATCTAAAGAAAAGCAATTCCTGCAAGATACAGCTTCCCAAACAAAAAAATTGGAGACCATTGTTATTTAACGCATTGAGGTAGAAGTAAATACAATGGAGGACCTAACTCTATATTAACAGTATGGGCTAAACTCTACCAAAGGTAAGGGCCACTAAAACTGTTCCTGAAACTAGTTCCAATATTTCCATTATATACCATTCTTTTGTCCCCTTGAAAAATCTACATATGGCTTGGTCTCCTCTTCCCAGAATCTGTTCTTAGGCGCTTCACAGGGTTTGCCCAACCAACTAACCCACCAGACCCATTTGATGGTTGAGATGGTTGGCCACCCCATCCTTGTGCATGAGGAGCTTGTTGAGCCATTCTAACATCCTTTGGAGTTGAACCTGACCCTGGACTTCTCATAGCACTAGGTGGTGAAACAGGACCAACTGATCCAGTCCTAGGCTTCACCAAAGATTTTTCCCTGTCATTTCTTTTCTTCTTGCATACAACAAGTTCACCTGGATGAGTAGGCAGTGAAGGATTATCCTGCTGAAGTTGCTCGCGCGCGCTGCTGCCACCACTTCCAGTTCTTGATTCCTTCTGTGGAAGATGGCCTTTGATCCTGGCACTTTCGCTGTTAGAAGCTGATGTGCGTTGTGGTGGCTTTTGAGAAGGGACTGGATCAGTTTCCATGTCATTTATCACTCTGTGCCTCTTGCCTGTGCCAACTGCCACTTGCCTTGGTGATGCTACAGTATTGGCGGGAATTTGGCTAGAGAAAGATAGTGCACTTCTTGCTTCTCCAAAGTCTGTATCCGGAAATGCAATTTTTAAGATATCAAAAAAGAGACCATGAACCTTCCTCGCTTCAGATCTTACCTGCACAAATAATGACATTCAGAACCTTTAACATATACAAAAATGGAGAACATATAAACAATCCTAGTCTCATTATCAATTTAACAACATTCAACAGCCATCATGAGGGAAAAATCACTTTGGCATAGTGCAACACATTTCTGGCTAGACTTTTTTTATGTGCAAGTTGGATTTGTACTTACGTAGATAGAGGCATGTTGGTAATCAACGGAACCATGGGTTAGCATTTCAACAGATTTTTCATCTATGCTGAAATAATATCATGCCTAAATTCCAATGAACCAATAATATAAAGGTTTGTAGATAGATATCTCTTCGGATCAAATGATGAAATGTATTCATTACGAAACAATATAATTAAAAATAAGTCTTCAAAAGAAATGATTTCTTCCAAGGGTATTATATGGGTTCCAGACATACATATATACAAGATAATACAATGTCAGGTCCTTTGAACAGAAAATGAAACATGCTACATACCTAAAAGTATGCTAACTTGTCTTTGGACACCAATAGTTTCATCCCCAAAAGAGGACACAAATACAATAAGTCAGTGTGTGTTTCCATTTTATATAATAACATGAATAAGAATCTTACCTCATACGAGTTTCCATAGAAATGCATTGCACTCCTCAACATGAACTGCACATCAAACACAAGCTCCATTACCCCACTATAATCCATTCTATCAATCCGCTGGTCAATCTTCCGTAAATCCAACAGACTGTTCCCAGATCCAGCTGCATACCCAGAATTCTCAATCCTCTTCCACAAATCTGTTAGCAAAGGTACGATTTGATGGCCTTCCTTGTCTATTCTCCTTTGGAGCTTGCTAATTACATTTTTGCACTGCAAGCCAATAAGTTGTGAATGTTCATATACTAATAATAAATGAGCAGGCAGACAAAAAACTAGGAAACATCTCCAATATGAATCATTTAACACGAAATGGAGGTGAGATTAAATTCACATAGCCAACAGATAGTTTCGATGAAAAACAGAACTAACATTTTCAGGATTGCAGCTGGTAAAAATTCCTTCAGCAGCTACCTAAGAACTTTATCCTGTTGTCTTATATCAATATTAATATTTTATAATAATTAAGCTACCTAAGTCCTTATTGCAGTGCGATCCACTCCATTCAGGAAAAACATATAACAATCACAGGCAGAACAGAAGACACAGCATTGATTACTTAAAGACACGTACCCCTCTCTGGATGATTTCAGTCATCTTAGTGCCATGAGCTGAAGATTCACTTGGATTGATAGGCTTCCCCTCCCAACTCTCTCTAGAGTGTTGACCACCATCCTCTATAGGAGCAGTTGTGCAATTCAAGCGACTAGATTTAGGTGACCCATGTAACTTGGATGTATTAGCTACTTTCCTCGAAGGTAAATTTCGCTTATTTTTTAATGATGATTCATTCTTATCATGCTTGCTGCTGGCATTGGGATCTCCAAATGATTTTGATTCAGGATCAGTCCTTGCTTGCACTTGATATTTATAATCTGATAAAAGAGATGATTCTCCCCGTTGAAGAGATACCATCTCATTGCCAAATTTGTCCTCAGGCCTTTCTGTGGCATGACGGGGACGGACACGGAGACTTCGTTTACGCTTAATCTTGGGTTGCTGCAACACTTGTTCATCCTCACCTTCATCACGATCATGAATCCAACTTCCCGACTGTTGATGATCCATGTGAGAATCACCGGATACTGCAATTTCCCCTTCCTCTAACTCATCTGCCTGGCAAAAGTTATCAAAAGATATTTAATCAGAATTAAATAGAAGAAAGCCACCAAACGAAGCAACAAAATATTCAAGATACAAAAACATCGACATACCATCCGTTTTGAAATAGAGTTTGGCCTGGCATCCAATGCAGAGAGGGAACCAAATTTCTGAGCAGAAACTGATGGTGACACTGTCTGTGTCAATCTTTGACTGTCAGAGGAAGATCCTGAGGAACCAGCTTCTTCAACCACATGATTATCTCTAGCATGTTCCGAAGACCGAGGGAATTCATATCCAGCATCAGAAGGTGCAGCATCTTCTTCCAATCGATTTCCATCAGCCCCACTATAACCATCATCTTCAGACTCTCCAATTTCCCCTTCTTCCTGTCCAGAATATCCATTTCTGTCTTCGGAGCTTGCTTCAGAATATTCACCATTTTCATCTTCCAATTCTTTATAACAAGGATGCTTTTTTCCCTTGGGCCGACCCCTTCTCCTTTCTGAACCTGCTTCACTGGATTCCACGCCAATACTACTGCTCAATAAAGTGTTCTTTGATGGTCTTTTGGATAAAGCAGCAATAGCAGCATTCACTTCTTTTGTACTGGCTCGAAGCCACTCAGGCACCTCATCATACCGGATCATCTCCCCAGCCCAATCCAGTTCTTCGTCCATTTGATCAAACAATTCAACTTCCTCTTTGCTCCTAGCAATCATGCGATTTACCTCCTGCAGTGAAGGAACATCATGGACAGTTTCTTGATACCTTTCTTCATCATGTAATAATGTCTCCAAAGTCAAACGTCTCTCTTCATGTGTTGTCCGTTGATCAAAACGTCCAGCATTAATAACCTCATCAGCCATATCTATCTTATATTGTTGAATATTGTTCCTTATGAGGCTCTCAATGGATCCGATATAGCGATCCTTACCAGCAAGTTCATCCTCCATATCAACAGTGCCTCCACTTCTCAATTCATCCTCCTTCTGATGGCTAGAGATTTTGTCTACAACAGCTTCCATGTAAATAACTCTGACTTCTCTTGTCTGTCCTATACGATGAGCTCTGGCCACAGCCTGCTCCTCATTTTTCGGGTTTGGATCAGGATCATAAATGACAACTGTGTCAGCAGACTGGAGATTAAGACCTCTCCCAGCAGCTCGAATACTGAGCAAGAAGATGAAACAGTCTGAATCAGGGCCATTAAATTCCACTATAGCTGATTCACGGTCTTCCAAACTAGTTGTCCCATCAATTCTTCTGTACACAAGTCTTCGCCATATCAGATAATCTTCCAAGATGTCTAGGAGTTTTGTCATGGTACTAAACAGCAGAACTCGATGACCAGTTCTTTGAAGTTTGATAAGGATCCTATCCAGGATCCACAATTTTCCACAAGTTTGTACCATTACTTCTTTAGGTATGTCATTAAACATTGGGTAATTAAGCATGGGATGATTGCAAGTTTTTCGTAGCTCCATACATCTGTTATTTAAAGTTTTATACTGTTTTGGCTGGTAGAGTGGATTTTTTTGAATCTTGGATTTCTCACCCTCAGGATCAAGACGAAGGGTACCGGTTGATTTGATCCAGTCATAAATGGCACTCTGGAAGGGTGACATCTTGCATCGTAAAACTATAGAGACCTGCAATGCAGCACAGATATTAGGTTGTGCCAACAGATACAGTAAAAGTTTAAGAGTCATAATAAAACCTTTGGGGGTAGCGAGCCCTCAACATCTTCAACACGACGCCTGAGCATGAAAGGCTCAAGAATCTGATGAAGTCGATGGATGATGATAACTTTCTTCTCTGTCTCAAGCCAATCATCCTCTGTATTTTGAGTGGGACCTTCCTTTTGAAATGGCTTTGAGAACCAGTCATTAAAAGCTTTCTTATTGTCAAAAACCTCAGGAAGAAGTAAATTTAAAAGTGACCACAGTTCCTTCAAATCATTCTGCAGAGATATTTACACCATTAAAATTTTTTATCAAGATATGTATTGCATCATGTATCTAATGATTTTTCAATTGAAAACATGACATCTACATGAAGTTAACATATAGAACAAGAGTCAATATACTATAAACAAATTTATGTATTTTACCAAGAAAGACATGAATTACTAGTCAAAGAACTTTGACTACTTTCCAGCAATGACTAAACAACCACAGCTAGCATAATATGATATATACTTAACCAAAGGTTATGGTTACAACACAAGAGGTCTGATTCAAGATTCTGACTCATAATTGAATTAACATTCAAGCTTCAAAAGAAAGTCTTGGAGTATTTATCTTTGTCATAGTAGTTTATGACTCTAAACTAAATGATTTGTGGATAAATGTTACTTGGCTCTAACCCCAACTTAGCATCAGCCATAAGCCAGGCATGATTGGACTAGGCTTTGAGCCCTGTTAGATCTGAATCTAGCCTTATCAGGTAATTTTGACTCTGACTTGAAAAGGAACCAACAAATTAAAACCATTCATATAAATGGGTCTGATGGAGGTAGGTAGCCCAACAAGTTAAACGGCTCCGCCATACTCATGCACAGAATTATTTTATTAGTGTCTTTGCAAATATTAAAAATGTCAATGAACAAAGAAAATTCAGCTACTGTCAAACACTACTCCTAAAAGCTAAAGGTATTAGGGGCAAACATATGAATGATTTTAATTTCTTTAACACTCCCCCTCATAAAAGAGTTTGGACTCACAGTATAGATATTATTATGCAAACCCCAACTCTACCTGAACAGAGGTTCAATTTTATTTAGAATGGAGGTTGCAAAGATCATATCTACGACCAATTGATCATAAAGAATATAATACAAGCATCATGGACAATTCTCCAAAAAGCTCAAGTTAGGTGAGGTCACATGATTGATTTTAATATCTCTATTAGTTACCAAAGGACGATACAAGCTGTGCAGCAAAATAGGAAACTGCTAACTTCAAGAAATGGTGATGTTTCGTTCAATTAGGTCATAAGAGACATTAAAAGTACACAAGAAACTACAGCAGCAATGTATATTCTATGGCATAATAGACCTGTAAAGGAGTTCCTGTCAGAAGCAGGCGTCTATGACAACGATATTTATCAAGATCACGAGCTAGAACAGAATCTCTATCCTTCATTCTCTGCGCTTCATCAATTATGATATACTTCCAATCAATTTTTGAAAGCTTTGACCGGTCATACATGATGAACTCATAAGTAGTCACAAGGACATTAAATTTCATAGCCATAATCTCCTGCAAATATAACACAAAAGAAAGCTCAGCATTGAACATTAAATTACTTGAAAGTTTGAAACAGTACAAGTCAATAAGCTGTGGCACACTTACTTGAGAAAATACTTTTGACCGGTAATCCTTCCCTCCAGCATAAAAAATGCACGACACAGATGGTAGCCAAGTATACAACTCACTCTGCATGGCGAACAAAAAATTGTGAGCATGCACACACAACACAATCACAAAGAAAAGGAATATTGTTGAAATGAAAGAGTTGGAAGCTCACCTTCCAGTTAACTAAAACAGCATTTGGCACTATTATAAGATGTGGGCCATAGTTTCCTTTAAACTCCATCAAGTAGGCAATTAACGCCATAACCTGAACAGAGAAGAAATGTTTAAGTTTTCCAAAGTATCACATAACCATCTCAGTAACTATGTACTACGTTTGAAATTAAAAGAGAGTAATCTTCTTACATCTCCTATGTATGACGTAACAAAATTTAATATGAAGTGTGAAATCACTCAACTGGAGAAAAAACATTGTATATTTTGTTCCTGTTTTAAGCATAGACATAGCAAAACATAACACTAACCTGCACAGTTTTGCCAAGACCCATCTCATCCGCCAAAATTCCATTTAATTTGTTATTATACAAAGAAAGCATCCATTGCAAACCAACCTTCACAAATAACATGTCAAATCCTTAAAAGCTTACTCTAAAAGACGACAACAAATTATAGATAATTTCATCAAACTTAGCAACCTACAAGTTGATAGTCTCTTAGTGTTCCAGCCCTTAACATTGATGGTTGACTTACAACCCTCTCAGTCACAGCATGAGCAAGGCTGTAATACCTGGTATGTGGCCAATAATGGTAAACATCAGGTATCTGATGCATTATTATGCAATCACTAAATTGTACTAAAACCATCATTTAGATAAACAATATCAGAGCATTAAAAATTACAATAAATATGACTATTAGCACATTTTGAGCCAACACCTGGCACTAAAGATGAACCTGACCTCAAGCATCATTAGACCACAAGCCCAAAACTCGAAATACACAATAAACAAAAATTTACAACACTCACTTGCTGACAGACGAACTGTCTCGAGGAGCATTCATCTCCATAAAACGGTTTCTAATCATCACTTCCTCTCCAGCGCAAGCTGCTGCCACTCTAACTTCTTCTTCAGAAAGACCCTTTAGTCATAAAATACAAAATGGATCAATGAATGAACTCATAAAACATCTTCACTGGATTTTTCTTGTTTTTTTTTCTTTTAATAAGAGAGGATATTAGTGAAGCATGCCTGCAATCGTGCAGCAGCTGCAGCAGATTTTGCTGCCTCCTCCACTTCCTGTTGATTCTTGGCAGCAGTTATCTTACTTCCTAATTTTTGGAGATACTCTTCAGTCTGGGTTAAGAAAGTTGAAAGAACAGCATATCTCTCTGCAGCGTCGCCTGGGATGCTAGTCTGCTGCTCCAGCAACATCTCCCTATATCTGTCAACATCATTGTTTTTTAGGGCTTCCATCCTTTTGTTTCTGTCATCGTCTTTACGTTTTGAGAACTCTCTCAACATCTTTTCATGATATTTGGCCACCCCCCTGTTGCGAGCAGTACGGGCATCACGAATGGCCCAGTGTGTTTCAAGAAGCTTTTTGCGCCACTGAAATATAGATTTCAGTTGCTTCTCCCTTAAAGCTCTCTGAGATGCCTGCACTTGCCTAGTGAGCTCCATCCGCTGACGTTCACATAGCCTAACAAATTTGCGGTATGGCCTATCTGGCATTGCCATTATCTCCTGTTGTTGTTGATCAATCTCATCCCTTAAACGTGCCTGAAGATCTAAAAGCCGAAGCTTTTTCTCTTCAATTTGCAACCTTAACACAATATCTGGCCTAATTCTTTTCCTCTCTAAGTTTACTGCCAGTAAACCTTCAATCTTCTTTAAATTTTCTGTCCTTCTCTTGTTAAGGACTTCCACGCCTTCCTCAAAAAGTAGCTCTTTCACATCATATGCCAATGACAAATTATTGTTGTTTACCATCATTGATGACCCAAAGGAATCATGTTTCCTAGTGAAGAAAGGAAAATCAAATAGGGGTCCATGATATTTTCTTGCAGATCCCACATCGTTTGGCTGGGCAACAGTGCTTGCTTGTGCAGGTTTATTAATTTGGATTGCGTCAGTTACAGATGCGGGGGTTGCAACAGCCTTTCCCTTATCTAATGCCAACTCACTTCTAACAGGAGGTCTGCTAATTCCATGTTCACTTTCCTGATCTGACTTGGCAGAGCATACAACAGACTGCTGCTCTTCCTTTCCAGAAGATTCTTTTGTCATAGGAGGTGTGCCTTGCATATGAACTGCTGTCGCAGTGGATTTTTCATCTCTGACAAAGCCTTCCTGCTTTGAAGAGTTTTTCCCATTAATAGAGGGGATAGGTTGTGAATCATTGGCATTGGACTCATTCTGCTTTGGGTGTTCTGCTACAATATTTACAGCAGATTTGTCTTGATTTTGTGCTCCTGCAGAATGACTTGGCTGCTGCTCTTGTGAATCAAGAGGTGGTGGAGCGATGGCCCGAAGAAGTTCTTGGGGGAGCGCACCTTCTCCTTTCTATCAACCAACAGAAAAAATAATAACAATGAGCATAATCCCTGCTAAATATTATGCAGTACATCTTCATTAGGCCTAAATAAATAGAAACACAAAAGGTAACAGACAGACACAGTGTCACACAAAATGAGAAAGTAGAGATTAAACCTTCAGCCGCCTAAATGCTAATATTTGTGCTTTAAGAACATGAAGCTGTTGTTTGGTAAAACCGCTTCGTTGCTGAAGCATCTGAGATGGTGCCACTTGAGGTTTGGTGTAATTTCCTGATCCACCTTCATTTATCAGACCTCCAGCCTGAGAAGCAGATTGGTTTAATTGCCTGATGTACTGCATTTTAGCCAGTTCTGGTCCAGATGATGAATTTTTAGCATTCAAAGGATGATCTGCACCTAAGTTCATGTTTGCAGAAGACTGTTGTGGATGCACAGAAGGCATTCCATTTCCAATTATAATTGATTGCCTCAAAGATCCTTGAGCATCTCTGCCATGAAGATTGAATTGCTGTGTCGCCATGTCACTAGAGTTCCCAGATATACCAGTACTAATTGGTGGACTCAAATGGCTGGATGGAGCTGTCTGCCTGGCTTTTGCAGAACCTGACTGTGCAGACACATCACTAGATGAATTAGCATGTGCTGAACCCTCACTTGCAACTGCTGGAGAAGTAACCTGCTGGCTTGAAGCAGGGACAGGCGATGACTGCACACCTAAGTTAGTATCATTTGCCGTTGGTGGTTGAACCATCCTTGATTGCATCAGAGGAATGATCTGAGCCATTAAGTTAGCATTTGCAGGATGTGATAGATCAATATTTCGTTCTTGTGCCCATGCCTGCATGGCCCGTAATTGAGCAGACACAGTAATCTGGTTGTTCATAGCATTTGGGATGCTCTGCTGAGTTGACAATGCTTGCACAGGTCTTATAATATTTCCAGGCATTAAGTTTCCAATGGCCGGTCCTTGGATTGAAGTCTTTCCTTCACTCTTCTGACTAGGGGCTAGCTGTTGCCCTTGCTCTAACCGCTTTTCCCCATGAGTAAAATGCTCAGATGAATTCCTAGATGATGATGCATGGGCTTGACTCGCTGCCTGCATGGACATAAGGTCCTGCACTTTCAAATTTCCCATTCGCATTTCCTGATCTTTCACAGATGAAGGACCCAGCATTCCCATTTTCGGTTGCTGCTGTGATTGCATTGCTAAAGCAGATTTTTGTTGAGAAGCCTGCAGAGCATATTGAAAGTACGCATGCTGTGCTGGACTTAGCATTTGCTGCTCAATGCCTTGGCCTTGGTTGGAGCCATGCTGAGCTAAATCAACAAATTTTCGAGACTGCTGCGGCAGCTGCATGGAACTAGGAGATGAGAAATTGTTACTCCCAAATGCTCCTTGAAGACCTGCTTGGTATGCCAAAAATGCTTCACCCCCTTCAGATTTTCTAAGCAGTTGCTGTTGAAATGACTGCATATGTATATAGTTGAAAAAAAGTCATCATTCCATAAGACAAATGACATGGTTAAAGGTTAAATAAAAAAATTTCCAAAACAACATCAATAATTGTTATAAGATCACAATGCAAATTTCATAGATATCAAGACACACACAGGTACTCAGATACTTGCCGTGGTATAACATATGCTAAAATGGTTCCCAAGATCTACATCCCCACTTTTGACTTCATGTCTTAAAAGTACCACAGAAATTTGATAAGATTTATGCAGGCCACTATTAAAATAAAATACAAAGGAAAACACAAACTGTGCCTCCACTGAAGTAACATAACCATGAAAACATAAACGAGAACATAGTTGTAAGTTATGACAGATTCTTAAGTATCACTACCATATATCATAAAGAAATTCAGTCATGTACTAATCATCACACCATTTTGAGAAACAACTTGATACGAAGATAAATTTCCCATTAAGACCATGTTTGATAGAAAATCACAAGTCAACAAGAAAAAGACGATTTCAATCATTGACATAACACATCTTTTGCAAATAATGACAGAAATAACAAAACAGAGAAGCAGCATGAACGGTTAACACAAATTGACAATATACAGAAGTTGACGAAATAACACTTTTAGCACGTTGCAACTGTAGCTTGTTTGCTTACAATCCACAATTTATCAATGTATTTAAACTAATACAATTTACTTAAAAGAAAAAGAAAGGGCAAAGGGAGAAACCATAATCCAAAGTTAATCAACTTGTATAAATTTCAACAATAGCACATGAAGAGAGAGAAAGAGAGGGGAGAGGGGGTTCATTAAACCAAAACAGGAACTCCAAGTTTTGTTACCCTGATGCTTCATTATCATCATCAACCTCGAAAAGGCAAATCGCTACAAAAGTGCAGAAAAGAAATAACATATGCAGAATAGTCAAATTTTCCTATCATTGAACATCACATATGAACTGAAAATCAGACCAATTAGTAAAAAAAACTCAAAGTAAACAGAAGGGTGCATGCTGTTATGTGATGAAAAGGAAGCTAGACTGGAACTGACAACAGCAGTAGCAAAAAACTGCATCCAGTCATTTTCAGATTCAATGATTTCATCAGTTTCCATATTCTACTGCTTGAATGCCTGAAAATCAATTGGTCCAAAAAAGAAACACAACACACACTCAACCAATTAAGACAATCTCTGGTAACTAAAGCTCAGCACCCAGTGCATTAAATGCAAATTCAACAACCCATTTTTCCAACAAGCACCACACTCCCATGTGTTCCAAAATCAAACAACACTGAATTACCAACACAACCAGGTACCACACTTCCAAGAACCTGTCATCAAGAGCATACATGCAACCAAATTATCACAGAAATTCAGCTAAACCAATCAAAATCCACACCTGCCTAGAACCTATCTTCTGTTGATGCTGCTGCTGCAATGAGTCCAATCCCAAATGAGAGGCCGCCGAAGACGAAGACGACGGCGAAGCTGCCGCTGACGACGTAGACGCCGCCCTCCCTGCCGGATTCCGGCCAGGCCCACCACCGGCGCCGCCGCCAGCCTGCATGCAACCACCCCAGAATTCACCACCTACACCACAAGTGCCAAAAAAACCAAGATCACCAAAATTTCACATCACTTCCACTGATCAATCCAAAAAAATAATAAAAAAAAAATTCAAGCTTTGGAAAAAAACAAAAATACCCACAAATGCCAGAACCTCAGAATCCCTCCAAATTTGAAGAAAAGCCCATTTTTTCCCTCCGATCCCAACGTTCAAAAAAAATAAATTTTCTCTCTCTAGCTGCTGCTACTGACGCCCACTTTCTCTCTCTAGAATCCACAACTTTCGGGGCAATTGGGGACAGATCTTCCCCCGCAGAGAACCGAACTTGACGGAATCGGTGATTCTACTATTTGGGCCACACACGATTTCGCAATTCACAGTCCAACCCTAAGGAAAAAAAATTCAACCTTCATTTTTCTTTTTCATTTTTTATATGAAAAAAAGAAAAGAAAAGAAAAGAAAAGAAATGGTGTTTATGTTTATTTCTTTTTCTGTTTTTTTTTTTTTCCTTCCTCAGGTGGGTGCAAAGCTTTCTTTCTCTTTCTCTGTTTCTTCACTGTATGCCATTTATATACTGAAACAACTACGGTTACAGATTTACGGAAAGTTGCAATTCAGAATGCCTCTTGTTCTCCTCAAAATTACATAAAAACCTAAACCCCGTAACGGTTTTACATTTTCGTAAAATTAATTTTTAATAAATAATTCATAATTAAGAATAATATTTAAAATAAATATTAGAGAAATTAATTTTATATTTTAAACAAAATGTAAGTATTTTAAAAAAAGATTTATAAATCACATATAAATATAAATTTATTTTAAAGTCACTTATTTTATTATTTTCATAAAATTTAATACTGCATTAAATAATTCTTTATTTATGTAAATTAAATAATTTAAAAAAAAAATGCATTGATTTACATAGTTTGTACATTATTGCCGTATTTATGTGAGATCCATTTTGTTCCGATATGATGAGCCATTGCCCAAGTTTAGGAAAAATTCTTAACTTTGAACTTTCTATATTAAAAGAATATATTTATAATTAACTAATATTATTATTAAAGCAAACAAATAAATAAAGATGTAGTTTTATTAATTTTCATCAAATTAAGATCATAATATTCTTTTAAGTTATATAAACAATATGTACATCGTTAATTATTCGATTTAAGAGTCTATGATAATATTTTATCAAAAAAATTAATAAATATCACTCCCCGGTTAATATGCATTTCACATTTTCTTTAAAATATATTACATATTTTAGAGAAGTCACATTTATTCTTTAAACTATTAACTCAACGTTTCTAATAAAAAAAAATGCGATATAAAATTTTATCATAAATAATTATCTTTGGCCTTAAGATCAAATTTATCATAAATAAATAGTATGAATAATTTTATTAATTTTTGGCATACGTAAACTTAATCATCTATGTATACTTATTAGGCCTTCAATTAAAACATTATATCAGTGTTAATTGTCAAGTTTATATATATTAAAAAGATTATAAAAAAAATAATATGACATTTGAAGAGATAGATAAATTTTTAAGTTACAAGTAAAGAAACATGAATTTTTAAACTGTGAACTCAATAATTTTAATAAAAATTTTAAAGTATAATGAGGACACATATATTAGAGAAATTTTTCTAGTAACATATTTTTTTAAACATATTATTATTTATTAGGTAAAATTTATTAAAAATTACAAAAAAAATGTAAATCACTCTTAATTTAATAAATTTTTTCTTAAGTTAATTAATGTCATATAATTTGTTTATTTTTGATAAATTTTGACAAATAATTAACAATGTGTTCCTATCATTCTTTTTATATTTGGGATTTACCTCAATTTGTCGGGTTTATACATACGTCCAAAAAAAAACTCAGGAAAATTTAATGCAGCTCTTTGAATAGATAAATAAATTCAAGCTACTGAGTTGTATTGATAAGAATCTTTGAACGGTCAAGTTGATGATTTCAATAAAGATATTAATATGAAACAATCAAGCATATAAATTTTTGAATTAAATTTATGCATTTGCTTGTAAAATCAATTTAATTATAAATGAATTTTAAAATGATTTTTTTAATTAAAAGTTGAAATGGTTTAATATTAAGGCCAAGTTATATGTAATAAGAAATAAGCAGAAAACTCCTTGACTAATTGTTTCTTGGCTATAGAGATAAGAGCCTTTAAACTACCATCTCAATAGTTACCATTTGACTTGTACTAACCCTTTAATTGAATATTATATTTTTTAGTATATTTATTAATGTTGTAATCTGGTTTGTATGGACCAATAAATCCAAGTTGTTGAACCCTACATTGATTCAATATAAGCTATTGCAACTTCAACGTTCATTTGAGTTGTTGTACTATGATTGCAATGTTTACCAAATAACTAAGAATGTGTTTGTAACATTCTTTTTACATTCTTCTTGTCAATTTTATTATGAATGAATTTTAAAATTAATTTTAAGATTGAGATTCAACATGCGACAAAAATAATTTCAAATTATTTAATTTTAAATATACTTATATTGTTTTTATTTGTGAGTTTCATACATATATATAAAAAAAACTAAGAAAAGTTAATGCAAAATTTTAGATAAATAGATAAATCTAAACTATTGATTTGTATAGATAAAAAATTTTAATCTATCAAATCGATAATTTCAATAAAGATATTAACGTAAAATAATAAAAGTATATGAATTTTTAGATTAAATTATTTAATTAAAGCATAATATTACTTTTATTACTCTCATTTGTCGGGTTCATACATATATCTAAAAATAAACTCAGAAAAATTAATCCAACTCTTTGAATGGATCGATAAATCCAAACTGTTGAGTTGTCCAAATAAAAATCTTTGACATGTCAAATTGATAATTTCAATAAAAATATTAACATGAAACAATAAAACATATGCATATTTAGATTAAACTATTTAATTAAATCATGATATTACTTGTATTACTCTTATTTGTCAGGTTCATACATATATAAAAAAAATTAAAAAAAAAACTCAGGAAAGTTAATGCGACTCTTTGAATAGATCGATAAATCCAAACTATTGAGTTGTATAAATAAATATCTTTGAGCTATCAAATCAATAATTTTAATGAAGATATTAATGTGAAACAATAAAGCATATGTATTTTTATATTAAACTATTTAATTAAACCTTAAAATTACCTGTATTACCCTTATTTGTCCAGTTCACGCATATATCTAAAAGAAATTTTTAAAAAAAATTAATGTAGAATTCTTTGAATAGATAAATAAATTCAAGATACCAAATTGTACTTGTACATATAAAAAATTCGTGAGGTATCAAGTCCATAATTTCAATCAAGATATTTACATAAATCCATAAAGCAGATGAATTTTTAAATTAAACTTTTACATTTGACCATAAGATCAATTTTTTTATTAATGAATTTTAAAATTATATTTTAAATTTTAGTATTAAACAAAGTTGAAAAACAATGAACTGAAATAATTTAATATTAAGACTAAGTTATATGTAACAAGAATTAAACACGAAACTCCTTAACTAATTGCCCCTCGGCTATAGAGTTATAGAGATGAGAACTTCTAAACTACTGACTCAATAATTTTACTAAAGATATTAATATAATAAAGCATCTAAACTGTCAAGTTGAATTTTTATGTCAAACCTTAAGATCAATTTCATTATGAATGGATATTAAATTTATTTCTCAATTTAGATTAAAAAAATACAGACAAAAATAATTTAAAATGATTTAATACTGACATTTTTTAATTAAAACATAATATTTATCTTATTTGTCGAGTTCATATATATCCAAAAAATCGTTAGTAAATAGTAATAGCATACTAACATATAGCGTTAAGTGATATATGTGATTGATTACGTTATAATAATGATACTATATGTAGTATGATGTATGTTTTTATTTCATTTTAGTCCTTGAGATTTTTACTTATTTGACATTTTAATCCATGAGATTATCACTAACAAATATTTTAATCCTTGATTCTTAAAATATTTTATCAGAAACTATACCCTAAACCCTAAACCTTAAACTACACCTGTCAATCACTATCTGCATACTTTGTTGGTGACAAAGTCGTTACTTGCTAATATTGTTACCCACATCTTGATTAGTGTTTGCCTTTAGGTTATAAACAATAATTTTATAAGAAACTTAGAATTGAAACCTTTAATTTTTCAATATTTTATCATTCTTTATATGTCCCTCAATTATTTTCTTCTCATTCTCTTCTTTTAAATTAACAATACAAGAAAAACTTGGGTCATGTACTATAAAATTCACTTGTTACTTCTAATTTTATTAGCAAGAAAGACATTGTCAATTTCATAACTCTAATGATATTACTTATAAACTTCTGTTTATTTTTAAACTTCTCTTTTTTGTGAAATTTGTTTAGGGCAAAGAAGTATTGACAATGACAAAGTCACCTACTTCATTTTCTCGAAGCCAAGAGTTTTTTTTTAAATCTTTTTCTAAGGAATTTGCAATAGTGTAATGATAATTTTTGGTGATAGAGAATGAAAAAGAAGGATGAGTAGAAAGGTTTTAAGAAACAAAAATTAAAATGTTTATTGGTAACAATCTCATAAACTAAAATATCGAAGAGTTACAATCTCAATGACAAAAATAAAATAAAAACATATATTATATTATATACGATATTATTTTTGTCACATAATTAATCATATATGTTATCTATTATAACATGTCAACATTTTGTTATTATCTATTAATGATATTTAAGTCTAGAAACTAAAATATTTAACGGAGATAAAAATTAAGAACTAACATGACATTTTAAAATTTTAGATATTAAAGTGTATTTCAAAGGCCAAAATAAGGATTCAATAATCAAAAAGTGAGAAGAATACTTACGATCTACCAAGACAAATAACAAATGAATAAAAAAATAAAATAAAAACTTAAAAGTTTTGAAGTAATTATAAAAAGTAGCAATTGTAACTTTCAAATAAAATAAACTAAGAAAAATGTTATATTATTTAAAGTTAATGGTTTCCAAACATAGTTAATTTTTATATTTTTAGAATTGTTACTTGACTCTTAAAATTATAATTTAATCCAAAGTTATAGTTTATCCTATCTTTACATTATAAATTTTTATCTTAAAAGAAACAGTGGGTTAAATATAATTTAGATAAGATAATTTTTTTATTTTATTCTTTTTCATACCCCATATCTCTCTTTAATATTTCATTAAAATAAATGATTATTTATTGAATTAATTTTAATAATTTTATAAAAATTATTATATTAATATTATTTTTAATAAAAAAATTTAAATTTATTTTTATCAAGCATATTTTACTCATTTTATAAAATATAATTTAATGTTTTATTAATTTTTTGTTTTGGTTAAAATTTATTATAAAAAAATTTCTAAGAAAATTATTATAATTTAATATTAATTTTCAATATTAT